AACGAGAAAAAAAAGCAAAGAATATCATGCGATCATCTCGCAGACAGCTGCAGGAGGTGGCCGTTTGCGCATGCTACCTAGCACGCTGCCACGACGTCGTATGGACGCGGACGGTTCATCATTTTCTCGGGCGGCCACGATGATGTGGTGTGCACTTGTTGCCCCCATCCCCATCTGCTGGGCCGTGCTGAATGGGAATAGGAGAAAGTGCGCTCAGGCGCAGCTTTGATGCCTGCCGGATTTTTATTTTTCTGCCTGTCTGCAGCTACTCTATTGACCTTGTCTCCTATCCTAGGTTCTGCGCTCCAGCAAAATCAATCACGGTCCAGACTGCAATATATCCAGACAATCCATATCGTTCACATATATACGATACTATACGGTTCATACATCGGCAGGCTTATAATAGGGATATAGCATACTTGGAAGGGGCTTTCTTCTACAGCGGGAGCTCGGAACCGCTGCACTAGGAAAGCTCAAGAAACCGCCGAGCCCTCGTCTATAAAGATCTAGGTATTTTTGGAGGACGAACTTTAGCTATAGAGCAAGGATGAATTGCCAGTTCTGCGACACGTATTGCCATACCCACGACGACTTTGCTGCGCACATACGCGCAAACCACAACCGACGACTGACCCCTACCGCCGGCCCGCACCCGGGGGCATTTTTCAAGGGCTTTAATAATGGAGAATACGCAGACGCTATGCCTCACAATGGCCGTAGTCTCGGGCCGATGGCTGCCACGCAGCAGCAGCAGGGACGGCAGCAACACCCCGTCGTCATCGAGGACGACCCTGACGACGACGACGACGACGACGACGATATGGATGAAGATGATGATGATGATGAGGACGACGACGACGACGACGACGACGACCACGACGACGGCCGCGACCACCGCCACGGACACCGCCGACATGACGACTACGGCATGACGGTCGACAGCGACCCGGGAAACAACCACCCCCACCCCCGCCGGCCCGCGCCGCCCCCCCCGCCGGGGCCGATCACCCTGCCTGTGCCGACGCTCGCCTCCATCGCCGCCGTGCACCCCACCCGCCCCGCGCTGATCAACTACCTCTTCAACCTCCCCCGGCCCGTGCTCGTGTCCATGCTCGTGAACCTCGCGCCTCTCGCGACGGCCGCAAACGGCACCGCCGAGTCCTCCACCACCACGACGACGACGACGGACGCGCTCGCGCACTGCGTGTACTGCCACGAGCCCTTCTCCGTCGAGGACCCCAGCGCCGGCAAGGGCTGCAGGATCAAGCACTACTGCGACCCCGAGGACGACGGCGAGCTGGTCGAGTATCCGTGCTGCGGGGCGTTCATGACCTACAGCGACTACGACCCCGGCTGCCATGCGCCCCCCGAGGAGTCGCTTGGGAAGTTCTGCTGGGAGGGCCAGCACCGTGCGATGCCCATCGTGGAGGAGGACTTTGAGCAGGACGAGGAGGACGAGGAGGACGAGGCTGCCGATAACATGGGGCTCGACGAGACGTATTATATCGACGGCATCGGAAGCCAGGAGCTGAAGAATGCGCTCTGGTGGAAGAACTGGGAGGAGAATGGCGGAGTCACCTGCGAGGAGGCGGGGTGTAGGAGTAATTGATCATGATCATGAGGTCATGAGATGCATATGGCCATGTCGTGTAGATGTTTGTACGAGTGTGAGCGTTGTTTAGATAAACTGTAGTCAAGATCGATTTATTTTTCCTCTTTCTTTATTTGTTTCATCATCTTATATATATTGGCTGGTTCAGATAGCATAGACTGCATTGTTGAATGATACATTTCCCCAATCACGAATTCAGAAGATTATCCATCATCATCATCTCTCTTAATTGTAATTATGGAAATACTATAACCATATGCAAGACTTGGCCAAATGCACATCCAGAGCATTTCCTTATGCATACCTACTTATACATGATATCAAGCACTTGCGATGCCTTTGTGAATCTTCAGTTTATTCCAAAACATGATGACTCCCTTTATAAACACGGTACCTTTGTAACCCGAGTTGCACAGTTTTAGTCTCGTACCCGCACATGTACACCTTAGCCTGGCCACGGGTATGCATGCTTATACTGGAAATCATCTAGATCTGTATCCGGATCCGGCCGTCAATGTTTTAAATTCCGGACCTAAAACGTTTGTAAATATTAATTATATGGTATGGATATCTGCTTGTCCTTACAACAATTTGGGGCAACCATGTAGCAATCAATGAGAAGGAATGCCCTTCGGTACACTTATGTAAGTAGCGGGCAACTCCAAAAACCCAAACCCTCGACAGTGACTTTTCCTAGCGACTGCTGTATACGCGGACCTGCAACTACATACTTTGTACGGAAAAGGTTTGAAATGCCATCGCTTGCCGGGGTTGTGGTTTAGAATGCCAGCAGGCGTGCAATGCCACTTTGTTAGCTAAGCCATACCTAGCCAACTATCGCGGGCTACTAGGCTGTTGAAAGATTTAGCACATGTACAGTGTCCGTGTTGATTTTGCAATTGTTTTCATTATTCAGTACATCATGACTTTGGAACTTTAACTAAATCAGCATTTCTTATCATTTGAGGGCTTTATGGATGCTTTATCTGACTGGGCTGTTGCTTTTCATTTGCAATAATAAAGGCAGACGTCTCACGCCGCATTTGTGTGTTCATGATATTATGATGATTTTAGCGGATTATCATTATTATAAGCTCTGATTCAATTGTGGCAATGCGCGCCTGCTGGCATTCTAAACCACAACCCCAGTAAGCAGTGGCATTTCAAACCTTTTCCGTACTTTGTAATTAATATTCGGACCCCTCCGAGCCGATTTGTACAATTCCACATCATGATTTATAGATATTCTCGCTACATCGATAACCCTTCTAAATCAACGTATGTACAATCATTATATATACCTCGCCTTCGACTCCAACCGCTTCTCCAGTGCACCCTCGACGTCCTCTGGGGACACATATCGTATCCGCCCAGCGCAGCTCCCTCCCTCCCTTCAAGTTCACCGTCCCCCGAGGGAAACGCATACTCCTCCACCTCCGCCCAATTGACCACCAAAAACCCTGAGCTGAGCACGATCCGTTCCTGCCTCGTATACCTACCCAAGCCGCACGGCGGCCCGCGCGCCACGTGGCGAAGAGAGAGCACCCCCGTGTGCGCTTCGGTCGGCCCGCCGACTCGAGGGTCTGCATGGCGTATGTAGCAGCGTGTCGGGTCCTGCAGCGCGAGGACGGTGTGTTTTCTGGTAGTCGCGGTGCACCCTGAGGCGGGCGGGGGATGGTGAGGGCGTGCAGTCTGGTGAGGGAGTGGCATCTCAGGGTAAGCGGGCTGCGCTTCTCCTCGTGATACCCCTCCGGGAGCTCGTCATACATCGTTTTGACGTAGTTCGTCATACATCGGGTTGGGTTGACGTCATCGAATTCAGGATCCTCGTCATCCCCGGTAGGTAGCAGGCCCTTGCCGTCGCAGAACCATACCCCGCCTGCGGGAAGCACAACTCCGCCAACATCAGGCCTCCATGGGGGCAGCGGGGATCCTTGCCAGCGCTACTTAGGTACCGGCACCCCGGTCTCGATGGAGTACCTACCTATCTTGCCAGGAACGAACGGCCATGTACTCTCTCCTCCGGGAAGCCCGCTCGCGGGTCCCTCGGGGTGAGCTGAGGGGGGGTATCCCATCCTTCACCTCCGGGCTGGATGGAGTCTTGCCGAACGAAACACATCCCGTCCCACCCCACGCACGCACACGACGCCGGTCGGTCGGGCCGATCGCGACGTTCGAAGCGGATGATATTTATCACACAGCATACACAGCATATATATTCTCGCCAGAGATTCGAACTCCCACTTCTGTATGAGCCTCCCACAGGCTCGGTCGAGGAGCTCAGGAGCATGTATCTGCAGCAAGCAATACGACGTCAATCTTGATGCCCTTTATTTGCAAGTATGATATAAATATATACCCACATTCTCTCCCACGGCGCATCCAAGCACCCCCCGCCTCCCCCGCCTGCAACAACACCTACGACCACGGCGTCACTCACATCCTCGTGCTCATCCCTCATCCACGCCTGCCTCATACCCCATCGTCGGCAGCAGATACATACCTCTGCCACACACCCTCCTCACCAGCGCATCCATCCAAATCCACTTGAACCACCGTCTGCTTCGAGAACCTCTCCCGGCACCAGCACCAGCACTCATCAGCCTCCTATCCATAGGTAAGTAATCTCCAGCAGATACGGCACCCACACACAGCACCTAGGTAGGTCTGCTCGCACACCCAGCCCAGCGCCGCCTCTTGGTCACTCACCAGAAACTCACTCCGTGCCCGCTTGGAACAGGTAGAGTACAGGTAATCCAGGTAGGTAGTATGTACATCACCCTCTCCATGTTATATATCCGTGCCCCAGCTCCGCACCGAGAACGCTTACGGGGTTCATTCCGCGCGATTCGGGCCGGCCGCCTCGAAGGTTTCCGCGGTGGAAGCGGGTGAGGAGGATGGAGAGCAGGGAGGGGGGGGGGTTGTGAGGAGGGCGGGACACCCGGCGGAGAACGAATATGGCTTGCGGGGGGACGCGGGCGAGGATCTCAATTTGGAGTTCGAGGGGGGAGGGAGGGTGATGAGGCATAGGGCTCGAGAGGACATGTTCGAAGGTGGTTTGTTATTTTTGTTTGAATCAGGGGTAATAGCCCGCCGTGTATACCGCGGCTGAGAGCAAGTTGTGTAATGTTACGCGGATTGAGGGAACTCGATAACGACGTAGAGTAGAAGGTACGACGCAATTGCGGTCTTGTGATAAGAAAAAAAAGGAATCACATGAGTCTCATGTCCTTACGTCAATGCATCTTTCATGCAGAACTGAGACACAGCACTGATATTTGGCAAACAATACGCCAGTGTGTCTGTGGTTTATCTACTACCTTCTTCGAGGAGAGGAGCCACCCATCATACTCACCAAACCAATAAAGGTGCAAAAAAAACAAAACGTCGAGGACAGGATTCGAACCTGTGCGACAAATGTCATATGATGACGGATGTTTGTGATGTGTTTAAGCATCACCGAATTCGAGTCATACCCGTTAACCACTCCGGCACCTCGACTTTGTTATGTCAACGCACCCCGGTGGTGCGCTAAGCACCTGTACCTCTACTTGCGGATGGCGCAGTACATTTTCAGTCCCAATTAGGTAGTCAGACGCCAATTGAGATGGCAAAGCGTTCATATTCTTCAGGAGGCATGCAGCTAATTATAATAAGTATCTACTGCTATATATTGCGCCAGAAAGTGACGTTTATCTATGATCACCCGCGGGTTGTACTATAAAAAGTTCCGACCAACTGTACTCTTTTTTAATAGATCACAAAAACCTACCGCACCTCCCAAAAGTATATATAGACATCGATCGGTATCACTCGAGCTCACATCGCCATGTGCGCTAGATAATATAAAATTAGCTCTAGAATAACAACCCCACCCAGCCCTTGATTACATAGGTGTGTACTTCATTGATACGATACAAGATCTGGAATATGTTGAGGTACTTGGGGTATCATCCGTACCATATAAGCCATTGGACGTTCACATAATTTGTTCATATGTATGTATGTATACTTACGAACATGACCAATCCCGCGAGTTCCTATTTATACTATAACTAGTACTTGACGTAGCACGTGGTTGTCTATAAAAGTACATCTGGGGGAATAATTTCGGCAGATCGCGTGATTTTCGTGCTCTGGAGCACGAATATCTGCAAGATCCGTTCAGGAGCACAATTAGAAGGAAAGGAACAATGAAAAAAAAAATTCTATCACTCCACGATCCACTGGCCAATCCATGACTCTATCCCTAAAATTTACTAAAAAATACCATAAAAATTCACCGTGAGCATTGCAAGACCACACCGGTCCAGCACCACCCACCCTCCGTTTTCTCGATCCACAAAAATTCTTTCTCCCGGATGTAGGCATTTGTTTAAGGCATGTAATTAAGCTTGTTTGTACGACATTGATCAATGGGGTGGATTGTCTCTTTATACTTTATCTTTGTTTATAAAAAGATCATGGTGGATCTCTAGGCTACTAGGCAGAAGTGATGGCATGTGCCCTTTTAAAGTAAGCACTTACATGTCAAATGAATTATTTGGCTGGCTACTCTCTAGCCTCGTCCCCAGCTGGGCGGTATGGGGTGTGATCATGCATGCCTGCGCCGGGAGGAGGGTAACCTAAGTACGCCCAGCGTACGATATAGGGAGGCCTCATGTGTGTCAAAGCTGCTGCTGGTATACTGCCCCGAAGCCTTTTCAAAACCATGAAGCCAGCACATGCATAGTAAGTCTACATACTTATATGGTATGGTGGAGAGACACAGCTACCTCATGTAGCTATCACCCGCCACGACTGCCGGCTATTGGCTACTGAAAGGTACTTTAAATTTAGTAGTTTCTCACGGTACCTCAATATATGACTTCTGCCGTCCCCAGGGGTCTGTTTTTTTGCGACCGGCAGCTTTCCTTATTGGGGGCTTGGGACAACTGAATTGTTTGTATTTTTTAAGCCTATTAACCAACTGAAAAAACTCGAGGATTGATGATGATGAGCCTAAACCTACAACTGTGTAGTTTTTTGATACTACCAGCTAAAATGGCCCGATGAAGTTAGTCAGGTTTGTCCCTATGTCGCAAAAACCGAATCTTGGGGACGGCCAGAGGGATTCTAGGATACATCCATATATCTCTCACGGTTTATTCAGAATATTAATCCTCAAGGCCATGGCTTTGCCGTCCATCTTTGTGCCCAACATTGTTATTGCGTTCTGATATACTCTAGAATTATTCATGTTGTGATTCTATACATACGAGTATCATTTGTCGGGATCCTAATTAGTTCCCAAAAAAAGTCGAGGTAAATTTACTGTATGCACCGGCTCGTATATACAACTGAACTACGTATATACCTACCTAAAAAGAAAGCTTGCTGGATCGATCGATTTATAAAAAAAGAACTGACCATACATCTATATATACGGGTACTTACTTACTTACTTACTTACTGAGCTATCTATAAGTAACTCATGATACGAGTACGAGTAAGGTGCCTACATACTAAGTAGGTAGCTAAGGTACTAGTACCTACTTGCAAGTATATTTGGCTAGGTATGTACAACCTACTCGAGTACCTACCTACTCGTCCTTGTTCATGTAGGTACGCCCTCCCTCTAGACCAACATCAACATGCATCCATCGGGGCGGGAAGGGCCCGTACATACAATACACGTACCTAGGTAATATATCTCTCTCTCTCAAATCCCGATTTAGCGATATCGATCTTCGCTACACGCGTAGAGTATAAATAGAGTGCTCCACACACGAAGAGAAAGTACCTAGCTATAGGTGGGTATTTAATTACCCCTTGCAGCTTGCATGTATAAACAGTTAACTGTCTGTCTACTCTATAGGCCTTAGCTACCTAAGCTATCTATCTACCGGGAAAGGAAAAAGTTTTGCTCGTTACATTGGTAGTGGTTGGTTGGTTGGTTGGTTGGTTGGTTGGGGACTCGTAAAGCGCTGCTGGGCCCGCCGCCTCCGATATCCAATAGCTTTTGCTTTTCCGCGAGACTAGGACCGGTAGCTTTATATTTAGGAAAAAAACTGGCCCACAAGAGATCTTGCAATCGTTGTGGTCCAGCTAATTGCAATTGCCGTTGTCGAAAATAAAAATAAAAAAAAAAAAAAAAGGCACGTTACACACCACTTTCGGTACATACACTTACTTTTACCTACCTATACGTCCCAAGCAAATTGCAAAAAATTTCAGGGGAAGATAGGTACTTATATATATATATAAGGTATACAGGTAGGTAGGTAGGTAGATCCAGATGTAGAGTAGATATATATGGGTCCCAATTAAAATAGGAGAGATAATTATATACAAGTACCTGCATGCGTCATGGATATCGGGGGGGCACCACCGGTGACCGGTACCCGATGGTTTCATTCATGACATTAGGTAGGTAGGCTAGGTAGGTATGTACATCCAAAACAAAGAAAAGCATCGTCGATATATATTTATATAATACACTACACCATATCTTTCATGATCACGAATCATCATCATCATCACCATCATCATCATCATCATCATCATCATCATTTACAAAAATAAAACATGCACATGCTTTTGAAAATAATCTATATATATAAAGTAACATAATTATATCGTATGATCCGGGATTAGGTGATATCTTCTGGACAGCTAGCTGGCCTAGGCAACGGCATGGCATGGGAAAGTACATACTTCAAGTACCGGTCTAACTTACTTGTAAACTCGAGGTGATATATAACTCTATATATATACCAAGATCAGAAGCAGAAGTAGACGCAGAATCGAATCGGGGGGCTGGCCGAATCGTGAAAGAAGTGAAAATGGAGGAAGTGAGTGAGTGAGTGAGTGAGTGAGTGAGTGAGTGGCTGGGAAAGGAAAGGAAATAAAAGGGGGGTTCGAAGGGCCCGCGAAGCTTTTTGACTCTAACTCTACTAGTCTCGCTCACACGGGACAGGACATGCATGATATGTCAGGTACCACACACAATTCATCATCGGCCACGAGATCGATCGATCGAACTCGAGTTTATATATAAATATATATATATATATCCACCTAAAACCCTTAGGTACATAACTACCACATATACTCTACCTACCTATTAACTATAGGGTTCGAATTCTTTATAATTAGGACTGTATTTAAATAAGCTCGAAAACCACAAAACACGTGCACACAAAGAAAAAAAAAAAATGAAAAAGGGGGAAACACAAAACACAAGAATTACAGAGTATGGAGAGTAGGCACCCGTGACTACCTAGGTAAGTCTGATCGAAAGTGTGGGCAGCTGGGTAAGTAAGTAAGTAACGTGGCATGGTAGAGCTCGAGTTCTATAGCTAGCTAGAGTCCTCCCGCACTCGTATACGATACGATACCATACGATATACCCGAGTAACTCTACTAGAGTAGTTACCTATACACTTCAAGTAAGGTAATATATATTTGGCCACCATGCATGGCTTTGGGTATAAATTAAGTGTAACTCCAACCAACTACTTTACCTACCTACCAACCCAACCCAACCCAACCTCTTCACCCTCCCCAAAAAAAAGAAATCAAAATGATCGATCATTCATGATCATCCTATAATAGCGGCGGGGGGCCACAACCATTGCAACCTCGGATTCGGCGGATTCGGCGGATTCGCAAAATAATCATATTTCCAGATTCATTCATTCATTCATTCATTTCATTTTCATTCGAAATCGAAAAAAAAAAAAAAAAATGCTTATCGTGGCGGACGGGGCGGGGGCCGGCTAGGTACTGTACCACAAACGCAGCGCAGCACAGCACAGCACACAGCGTTCATGTTATACAGAATCGATTTCACAACTAGAGTAACTAAACCTACCTACCTACCTACCTACCTACCTATACCTAAGATATAAATAAATCTATATATAATTAGTCACCGCCCACTCACCACATGACACCTCTCTCTCTCTCTCGCTAGAGTCTTAGTCTAGTCTAGTCTAGTCTATATAGTTACTCTAGAGTAGAGTAGGAAAAAAAAAATAAAAGCTTGAACAACTTACCAACCGCGACGTCTCGCTTAAAATGAAGTAGAGTAGAGTTACGATCTACGGCCAGCCCCCCCCCTGTCAAAAGCCTACCTACCGGTACTCTACGCTAGGTAATCGGTTGTTTCCTCGGAGTCGGCCGGTATGGTTGGGTACGTACTCTATGATGGCATTGGTTGAGAGTGCGGAACATGGCTTTGGGATTTTTTCTTTTGAGTGGGGTACATACATACCTACTCTATAGTACTTACTTTCGAGTGGTGTGGGTGCATCATGAAGGCTTGTGTTTGTGTAACATGAGCCATGCCCATGCTTCTGATTTTTTTTTTCACGAGTGCCTACTTAGATAGGTAGAGTAGAGTAGATAGGTAATGTATGTGAGGGTTGCACGGCTAGCTTAGGTACATACGGTACTCGAGTACCTATCCGTAGAGATCAATGCGTTGCTTGTGGCTTAGCAGATATTGAAAGTACTCT